CCTATACAGGATGGGATTAAAAAACAGAATAGTGAAAGGATAACCTGCACAGACAGATAAAGAATGTTGAACAAAAGGGTTCTCAAGTCAAGAACAATACAGTTGTTTTACACTGCAGTATAACAATGATTGGTGTTCCGGTAGGATTGGGAACTTGCCAGGCTGATACACGTGTTGTTTTTTTTCCACTGGATTCCAGATGATCGTCCTGGCGTGGCGGGCAAGAGGAGGTCTGGCATCGAGGAAGTGATGCTAGACGGGAAGGTATCCTGCCTTTTCCTGGACACTGTTGAGAAGGCCACGAGCCACCACTGACTGTAAGGGATGGACGCATAAAAATACTTCAATAACATTTATGCAAATTACCTCTTGTCTCACAAGTTTGACCTGTTACTCTATAGTAAGAACTCCTTAGTCCTTCATTATTGGGGTGTTTCATATGGCTTTTGCAATTATCACTACAACCACTGTTTTTGTTTTATTTTAAAGTTGGCATAAATAAGTGCAGCAATTTTAGATTTAGTTTTATTGAAGATTTTTAGTGTGTATTCTTTCCTTCTTCGTTTACACATTATGTTTAACTATCCCTTACCCAGATTTAATCAGGGTTAGGTTAAGAGAGGGTTATGGTTGAAATATGCTTGGGCAAAGACATGCCAAATAAAGAACCTTGTGTAGGGACACAAGCATGGGGTGTCCACAGATTGTATGTGTGCTAATATTCACACCTTTAAAAAACATTAACCACATATAATATGTGGCTGTGGTCCTCTGCATCCAACAAAATGGATTTGAAGGATTTCTAGTAGCAGTGAATGAAACCAAGGAAAAGTACAAAATCCCTGATGCCCTTTTAGTGTCTTCTTACAGGCACAAGTTGGCAAATAATTATCAACAAAGCTTTGTAGCTGGATTCTCTTGTTAAATTACTTACTTAGTACAGCATGTCCCAGTGTTGCTAACTTTTCTCATGTATTCATACATCCTCACCTTCCCAACTCCAGTGCCACCAGTGAAGAGCACAGAGTGTCGTACAGACAGCAGTTTCTCCATCAGGTAGCCATAGCGGACAGTGTCTATGGTAGGGACTAGCATCTCAAAAAAGGGCTGCTCACTGTTGTACTTAAATGAAGGGATTACGTTCTCCCATGGCACCAGACGCTTCTGGTTAAAGTTCATGTACACACTCCACAGGGTACCACACTTCGGGACCTACACAACACAGATTAAAAAAATACACAAAAAAAGAAAGGGTAAATATAGTGTGAAGACTAACACAAAAGTGCCTACATTAGAGTTTGTCATTAGCTATAAAACCTCCTTAGATTCAGGCATTAAAGAAACTCATTTTACTGTTGATTATAGTTTCTGTTATGTGGTACATTGGAAGCTTCCCTGTGGCATGTGCATGAGTATTTACCTGACATATTTGTTTTCCTGAATCCTGCTGTTACTGACACCTTCAAGTAAATGAGTTATGTTCCCACCCTACTGTGTTCTGCCTCTGTCAGTAACATTCCCTCAATCATCTGCCACTACTGCCAGCCAAGACAAACCGCTGGTAGGCTGAAGGACTACAATAATATTAGCCTCTGCTTTCCTTCATCTTTTTCTCTGCACCTCTTTCTTTACAAATTATTACAATTATTTTCTCCATTCTATAACAGCTGATTCACAACAATGGTACGCAATGGACCTTTATAACTTTGGCACAAAACTCATCCTTTTATCTGATTTACCTTACATTCCTTGTAACCCACTGAAGGTATTACTAAAATGTACAATATGGGGTCTCTTTCTTAATGTCTGTGGCAGAGAAGAGTGTTAACAGCAACACTGGACATGTGAGGCAGTTGTCATATTTTTGTCTTTATGTATGTCAGTTTGTTTTGAACATATGTTGTTACAATACAGTAGTGCAAATAACTTTATCTATCTATCTATCTGTACCTTAGCATTGCTGTTGTCTTCAAACTGCACCTTTACGAAGGTGTCAAAAGCATCCCAGTGAGAACAGGTTAGGTTGCCGCCTACTGCCCACAGGTAGCAGAATAGGAAAGTCTGACATAATACACTGTTGAGGTGCTTAGAATCCTGACACCAACACACACACAAGCATAAAGGGAGAAGAAGCTCAGTTAGTAAGTAATGCCATGGTTAAAAAAAAATAGACCAGTCCGTGTGGCAATAGAAACAGAACTGTAACAGAATAAAGTGACAGTTAAATCTTGTGATTGATTTACCATTTTGAGGTCTGGCCCTCCATCGTCCAGCAGCAGTGCCTCTAGCAGGGAGCAAAGAGTTGTGACTTTACTGATCTCTACCTGGCGAATTGCCTGGATGCAATGCTTCAGCACGAACTGAAGACCCTTTTCCACATACTGCTTAAACAGCTCCAGCAGGTATGTTTGCACTGGGTCTGGGAGCTAGAGAGACAGCACAGAGAGAAGGGAAAAAGAGGGTCAGAGAGAGGGATGTAGGCAGCAGAAGGTAAGGTTACATAATCACTAAAGCAACCTGGTTAAAATAGTTATAGAGAGCGTTCAATATTTTGGGAAAAAACTTTTATTTACTTCCTTGCCAAAAGTTGGATGAAAAAATCAATGCCACTTATATCTGTCCACTAAATCTGCGGTTAGCTTAGCATAAAAAACAGGAATAAAGAGAGGCACATCTATCCTTTCTATGAGCAAAGGTAGATGAAAATCCACCTTCCAACACTTCCTATAGTCAGCTCACTTACATAGCTTCCCATTTCCAGGCTAACTGTCTGGGTGTAGCTTCATATGAGAAACATAACAGTGGTATCAATGTTCTCATCTAACTCTCAGCAAGAAAGGGAATAAGCTTATTTGCCCAAATCTTGAACAATTTCTAGTCAGTCTGTTAGTCAAAGAAGACAAATATTTGGAATAAGTGTGGGCATATGTCCCCGTAAGACACAGTGACAGACTCACTAAGTTAAAATAGATGGGAATCCATACAAAAAACTCTTACAACTCCACAAATTAGTTGAAAGGCTAATCAAAGTTATCTCTGACATGGCAGAATGCAACAATTGAACTAAGAAAAGAAAGTCCCTTCCCATAAGAACGTTTGATTGAAGTAGCTTCATCGAGAGGTTTAAATACTCAAAAGTGGAGAGAAAATAGATGGCAGAAACAAAGAGGAGAAGCAGCAAACAAATGTAAGATTATCATAAATACTGTCAACAAACAAAATAGTCAATTATATATCGAGACAGAGAGATACACAACAAGAGAGAGAGGGTTAAAAGTTGAGGGGAGAGATGTCCCACTCTCTGCAGTGTTAACCTTTGATGTGACGTGCCACCATCAACGTCATATTTCTCCTGCTTGTAATGCCTGAAAAGGCACATTAGCATTAATGTGAAAGTGCACAAACACTCAGGAACACAGCCACATTTTCACATGTAAAGAGCAATGATGGAGACGGATCAAAAATTAGCAGTCAGTTATATAAAGTATGGGTAAGTGTGTTTGAATGATGCCCAATCAAGGGTGCAGAGCTATGATCTGAGAGAGACAGCAATACAATTAATGTAACAGTTTACACATACTGTATGTACTAACTAACTAACACTGGTGGGACCACCTGTCACAAAAAAGACACAAATATGGAATACTGTTTTAGAAGCATTTATATGACAAGCTTTAAGCACAAATCATCTATTAGAATAACATTTTAAAATTTAAAATACTGTCTGACCTTGGCTCCAAGACCACTGATCCACGTCTGGACATAGGGCATCCACTTGAGCTCATCTGGGTCAATATATACCATCCCACAGCGACTGACTGTGGCTGGAGATGCTACAGCCAAGTCCTGGACCTGAGAAATACAGTTCATAAAAAAATACTGTAGAATCTTATAAAGTATATTTATATATCATAAAATATACTTCATCATCATATCTTCATCTTTCACTGTGTTCAGCTCTAACCTCAAACACCATATGTATGGATGGAGTAAGTTTGATTCGCTCGCTATTGGCAAGACAGAGCATCTTGTTGTCATCCAGCACTGTGTTCATGTTCTCAATCCACAGGGCATCAACTGGCCCATCACAGATCACCCACTTATGGTCGTCACTGGTGTCGCTGACTGCATCACGGACACTCAGTGCCATCAGTCCGTCACGCCACTCCAGGGTTAATGTGTTAACCTGAGGAGTTGAGGTAAATAATCAATGAAAGTAGAGAAGGAAGGGAAGAAGTTGTTGTATTATTTATTCTTCTGTCTACAGTACCTCTCCGTAGAGCTCTCCCATTGTGACAGATTTTGGGTTGAGAACATAGGTCTTGACAGGTTGACAGAAGGGGTTCTTAGCCTTGTGCCCTGTGTGATGGAGGGTCTCCAGTGTGTCTGCCAGGATGGTGTAGACAGTGGTCTTACCTCCACCAGTAGGCCCTACCAACAT